AAAAAAAAAAAAAAAAAAAAATTTCTAGGACAGAATATGTGCTGTAAGAGTTTAGATGTTCCCCTTGTCAAGTCAGCTGTGGCCAAGGCCACAGAGTTGCATAACCCTAACATGGCTCCTAGACCCCCACCCCTGGGAGAGGCACAGTCTGGGCAGACTTACCTAGAGGTGTTTGCTTTATTGGCCGTAGAGGAGGATTACTGGGTGTCAGTCCGGCTTGTGGGTAGGCCTCCTTCCTGCTTGGCAGAGAGAGTAAGGGTTGTTTGGTATAGGTTGAGTATCCATTATACGAAATGCTCCGGACCAAATGTATTTAGGATTTTGGATTTTTTCAGATTTTGGAATATTTGCATTATATTTAGTAGTTGAACAACCATGATCTGAAAATCAAAAACCTTAAATGCTCCAATAAGCATTTCCTTTGTGTCTCATGTTAGCACCTCAAAAGTTCCAGATTTTGGAGTTTTGGATGAGGGATATCTTGAGCTTTATGGTCTTGCCCCCCTCCCCCTCCCCTACACCCCTGTGCAACTCATTAGTAATTTGTATTTTCTTTGGGAAACTATCTTTATTTAAATAAGCTTTTTGGTTTTGTCTTTTTTTTTTTTTTTCAGAGACAGGGTCTTGTCTGTTACCCAGGCTAGAGTAAACGGCACAATCTTAGCTCACTATAATCTTGAATTCCTGGGCTCAGCCTCTTGAGTTGCTAGGACTACAGGCACAAACCACCAAGCCTAGCTAATTTTATTTTCTGTAGGAATGGGATCTCACTATGTTGCTCAGGCTTGTCTGCAATTCCTAACGTAAGCAATCCTTCCACTTCAACCAACCAAAGCTCTAGAATTAAAGGCATAAACTACTATGGTGGGCCTAAGCTTTATATTAATGAAGAACACTTACAACAAATATTTTTTTCTTTTTCAGACGACATATTCTGCATTTATTCAGCTACTTCCAGTTCTTGTGATTGTGATTATATCTGTTATTACTCAGCTGCTGGCTGCTAATCCTCCATATAGTCTATTCTATAAATCGTAAGTCAGATATTTATAAATCTTTCTCAGTAACAATCTGGAAGGGGAGAGACCTCAAGATTTTGCTGTACATCACTAACATTTCATTTCATCTTTTGCTGTAGAAAACACTGATTTTTGGGTGCCGCACCTGTGCCTCAGTGGGTAGAACGCAGTCCTCATATACCGAGGGTAGTGGGTTCAAACTCAGCCCTAGCAAAAAAAAAAAAAAAAAAAA